TATACTCTGAGTATTTCAGAAGAACAAGTAAATCTGTATCTCAGCCTTCAGACAGACTTAGACAACTACTGACGCAACGTAACAATGTTGTGTTAGATTATAGCAGATTACTCATCTATGTGGTGGTGCAACAGAATAATTGTTTTTGGCATTAGATCCACTTTATTTCTGGTGGAAGAACAGAAATATTTACTTGATTTAGTGTTGGTAATATTCAAAATGTGACGTGCTGAAGTTGCTGTCTCTGCTGTTGGCTGTCATACAGATTTCTTTCTGCAACAACATAGCATTTTATATGATGCTTTCTAAAGTTTGTCGGGATTAAAAAAGGCATTTTGATAGTTTTACCATGAAGAGCCATCTTTCTGAAACCGGTCTGGACTGTCACTGACTTTCACTGAAAGCTGAAAACACCCATAATAAGTACTGCCAGAACACGGCCAGTCTCTTGGGGGCTACTTTTGATTGGATCCTGCAACTCCTGCGCAGAGTACAGATTGGTATGTTCAGCAATATGTTGAATCATCTTGTCAGTGAAGAGTGTTTTGAAGTACTGGAAGGGTGTCCTTACATCTGAGTGTTCAAATCTTGAATCAGGAACATAGAATGCCTCGATGTCTTCAAACTTCCACATTATTTAAGTACCTGTTTGGGCCTGAGGGTGATTTAGGGTCATCAGTGTCCTCTGGCTCTGCCAAGGAAACTGTTTTTAGGGTGTTTTTTTTGTTTTCTTCTCTTCCTACTCTTCGGTTGTTTAGAAAATGAGCTTGTTGAAGCAACCTCCATGAATTCAAAAGAACAGTCTTCTGCATCTTATGCTTGTGTTGGCTGATAATCAGGATCTTCTATTTGGTTGGTTGTTGTCACCGTCACTCAGATCAACTTCAGATTCGAGTCGTGAGGATTTTCTGGTATAAGGGCCAGAAAATTCCATGAAACCTGAACTTAACTGAGAAGTCAGCAAACAGGACATGAACACAACCAGCATCCTGTTTGGAGTTGTTGAAATTTACAGTAATTAAAGATGTGGTGTTGGCTGTCAGTTTCCACCAGCAGGAGTAAAACCTGAGACAGCTTTCGGATCAGTACTCTTGGCAGCCGCTGTGACAAATTACTAGAATTAATCAAAAGAAAACAAACACAGAACTGTTTGAAAGTAGTCAATTGTCTTTTATAACATATTCTAATCTTCAAGTAATTCATTTTCATATCTTCTGCAGATTCTCCAAAGCTTCCCTCTGTGTCAGTGAGTCCCTCTGCTGAGATAGTGGAGGGCAGTTCAGTGACTCTGACCTGCAGCAGTGATGCTAACCCAGCAGCTAAATACACCTGGTACAAGGAGAACCAAACTCTGCTCAGTGAAGAACCACAGCTTGTCTTCAGCTCCATCCAGTCCTCTGACTCTGGAGAGTATTACTGTGCAGCTGAGAACCAGCTGGGGAGGAAGACAACTAAATACATCATTAATGTGAAATGTGAGTGAAACAGTTTAAAGTAAAAATAACCAACATCTTAAATTTTAAGTCCTTTGCAGGAAAATATTTAATGGCCATGTCCACATCCTTCAGCTCTGCTTACTCACATTCACAGTTGCATTAATTCATTGAGCAGCTCCAGGAGAGTTTTATGCCGTTTTAGGACTTTTGGGAATGTAAATGGCATATTTGATACTGTAGTAATACACCCTTAACCTAGATTAATCTCTATTAACACAACTCCTCCAGATGCTCCAAAGACTTCCTCTGTGTCAGCAAGTCCATCTGGAAAAATCATGGAGGGCAGTTCAGTGACTCTGACCTGTAGAAGTGATGCTAACCCAGCAGCTATAAATACCTGGTACAAGAAGAACCAATCACCACTTCAAGGTCTACAAGACATTTATCATTTCAACTCCATCAGCTCTGAGGACAGTGGGATCTACTACTGCAAGTCTGAGAATCAATATGGACGGATCAATTCTACATATCTTTCTATAGATGTCCACTGTAAGCCCAAACTAAAAAATTAACATTTACCACTTTATTATTTTATTATTTTTACTACACTAGATTTCAATTTTCTTTGGGCCTTTTTACTGAAACTGGGCACAACCTTAAACCCAAAAGTGTCTGTCGTGCAATCCTGGCACAGTGGTGTCAACATGGAAGAGAGGCTGAACATATTATTAGCAGGAGAAACACAGACACAGCAGGAGGAGTTGGAGTAAGACTCTGTACTTCTTATCCTCTTCTGAGTTGAGTTTTAGGTCTGTGTGTAACGATAGGCCTGTCTGTCAGGTGCCAAATTATGTTATTTGATCAGTCATGTCTCACAAGCTTCCATGCATATAATCATGCCACAATTACAAATAAGCAGAAGAATGGAGAGCTCCATGTAATAATCCCCCCTACACACTGGAACAATTATTATGATTCTTCAGAGGAAATTTTTTTTTTAAAGTTCAGTGTGTAATATTTCTGAGGATCTATCGATAGAAATGCAATATAAGATCCATAACTGTTTTCTGTGGTGTGTAAAGACCTTACATAATGAAGCATTATGTTTTACTATCTTAGAATGAGCCATTTCTATCTACATAACCACGGTTCCCCCTTTCTCTGCACGTTGCCACTTTGCATTGTCATGTTTCAACAGTAGCTGAAAACGGACAAACATCACAACAGAGCCTGTTTCGTCACTACTTCCTTCTTGTTCTACTTCTGGTAGAATTCAAGCAGTGCAGACACTCATCACTACGCTGAATACGTACGTTTGAAGAAGAAGAAGTGGTAATAATATAATGCAGGGGTCGGCAAACAAGTTCTACATCAGAGCAATATTTTCAAGCATTAGATGGTGGATGAGAATATAAGCCATAATACTGATCCACATCAACATCTTGTTAGGTTAGCTCAGCTGGTGTGGGCTTGCAATCCAATGGTTGAGTGTTTGATCCCACCTTAGGACAATTTTTTCAGTGAATGTTACACGGCATGTGCTGCACTGTTTTTGTTTTGGTGCTTGATCCAAATCCATCCACCTACAGACGCTTTTTCACATACCCAGTATCTGCGGGGAGAGGACATTGAGGGGAATCACATTTTCTGATGGCTCTTTCAAAGGTGTGTCAAGCAGGCTAGAGACTCTTTTGATGTCGTTCAGAATTTTTCAAAGTAAAAGCTCAGTTTAAATCCAAACACAGAATTGCAGTAAACAAGCATCACTTTTATTTTGTTGGTAAAATCACTAAAGAGGAAATGATTATGTGAGAAACTGTTGCTGTCATGACTGAGATCTATTTCAGCATCGCTATCAAAGTATTTATTTATTTATATTTTATGCTGCTATCAAAGCACCATAATCTGTTTTGGAGAGGATACTTAATCACAAAGAGAATGCATGTTTCCCTTGTCAGTGCTTATATGAACTTTATCTAATGTGTGGTTTATAATGGACTGTGGTGGCTTACATTTTCCATGTTATCAGTCAGTGGCCAAGTCACAATAACATATGGTTTTACTGAATAATTAAGTAAATATAATTTATTAATATATCTACCTAAAGAAACCTAATTTCTTGACTGGCTACTCTCTGCTCTCTCAGAAGAGCCACCTTTTGTGCTGTGTCAGCCACCGTACCTGTCCTACACCCTTTGAAAGGTTAGGGGGCAGTGGTAGACTGGATAGATGGATGCAATTCCTCACCACTAGATGCCACTAAATCTTACACACTGAACCTTTAATTAATATTCTTTGGACTGCTGCTGAAATTTGAAATTACCTGACAGCTTCCTTATGGTGACCACTATACATCTGTTCAAATGATTTCACTGTAAAGCTTGAAATGTGTGTGTCAAATAATACCAGTTGTGTGTGTGTGTAACAAAAACCACAGGAGGTCAATCGTGTAACTCACCAAGCTTGACACTGTCAAAAGATATAATGTCACTAGTGCTACGCATACCACATGCAGCTCCCGTCTAAATGAAGCCATGTAAATTGCAACGCACTTGTTGCCAAAAAGACCCATTGCTTTATTACTGTCCAAACTGAAGAAATAATATTTTTTCCACAATGTGAGACATTTTTTGAGTTATTTATTCTAAAGCAGGTGGATAACAAAGTAACCACTGGGACATCAGTATTGCTCCTGCAGGCCTGTAAACAAATATTGACAAGTTGTCTCTCTTTTGTCCCCAGATGCTCCAAAGCTTCCCTCTGTGTCAGTGAGTCCCTCTGCTGAGATAGTGGAGGGCAGTTCAGTGACTCTGACCTGCAGCAGTGATGCTAACCCAGCAGCTAATTATACCTGGTACAAGGAGAATGAAGACTCACCAAAAGCATCAGGACAGAACTTCACCATCACTGACTTCAGAGCTGAACACAGTGGGAATTATTACTGTGAAGCCCAGAACAGAAGAGGACGTCATAACTCCACCTTACATCTGATTGTTGTGGCAGGTAAATGATGCTCATTAACCTACATACACACCCGTTCCATCATTTTTTGCAAGGTCTGTCCTGCAGCCTCTATCATCAGGTGATGTACTTTGTCACCAGGTTCACAGCTATGCTCAAGAGTCCAGTCGAGTACAAAGTCAATCAATAATCTTTAACCTTGGTTACAAAACAATCAGACCCACAATGTAGAAGGATCACCAATATATTGGCACAGGGGCTGTTATACCTTATTTTGTGCTGTTGAGATCATTCATGTAATGTTATGGAACTACAGTTCACATACGTCATCATTCAGAATGCTTTAATCTGAAGATTTTAATTCCAATTATGATCCAAAACCACCTGTAATTCCATTATTAATTGTCAGTCTTTCTGTTTGTCAAGGTTCAATGAAATCCCTAATTTCTGGATCAATCACTTCTATTTTTCTGGCTCTCATATTCCTCTGTGCCTTCCTATTGATTAGGTGAGCAGTTCAGATTTACTCTGATTATGTTCAGTGATGCACCTTAGATTCAGGAAGTTGTTCAGTAATTTCATATGATGATATATATGACTCCTTTGTTTGTTCATTTATTTTTCTCTCTAGAAGAAAGAGGTCCTCAAAACAAACCACCGAGCCTGGAGAGAGACCAGACAACACAGCACAGGTGAGGAAGAAGTCCACTCTCACATGAAAATTTGAATTGATTTGTGCATCATGTCCCTCTTGGATAGTTTCTTCACCTAAACCTTCTGTCTGTATCACCCTCTTCTTTCAACCTGTTCATTTCCATGTGATGTAGCCATATGTTTGTGTCACACTCTTGTTTTCCTTAGTCATGAATTATAAAGTGCTGAGACAGGTTCCCTGTTTTCATCAACACAACACAATACCTCTGCATCTACACATTTTGTACACATTAACTTTTTGTAAGTAAAGGGGGATCATGCAATCTTTGAATTTTATTAACCTTTACTAGTGACAAGTATGAATTACAACAACAAAAACAGAAGTGACCTCGAACCTCTGGTTCACTTTTTGGTTTTGATAATGAGGTTTGTGGTTCCACAATAGAGAACGTGACATACAGTAAATGTGACCTCAGAAATTTGTAGCACCTGATGAAGTATTTGTAAAGTCAGAACAACCACCTCACCCTTAAACCTGCAGATGTTTTATTATATGGTCATGATGTTGCAGACCAATAAAAGCATACTTGCCCACTTTCTACTAAAGTACTCCTATCTATGTGATTATTACCTTTCAGCTAAATATCAGTTCAGTGTGCAACAACCCTTCAGCTGCAACACAGAGAAAACCAGCAGAGGAGTCAGACGATCTTCACTATGCCAGCGTAAGCTTCTCTAAAAACCAGGAAGATCCTCTCTACTCCAACATCAGGCCAGCTCAGCCCAACAGACACAAGAATGAAGAGGAGGAGGACGAAGATGGTGTGGAGTACAGTGTTGTTAACTTTAAGAGTGCCAATGCTTCAGCAGAGTGAGTCCATGAGAATTTTATTCATTCCCACCATGTCATTTTGTTGCATCTACCTGTCATTTTCAACCTGTTCTTAGATAATATTGGGATTTTTTTTATATTCACAGATTAAGATGTCAGGAGGTTTTGGAGAATTTGTCTTCACTGTACAGCATAATCACCGACATACCAAGAGTATGAATACAACATGAAGCTGTGCTTCTGTGTGTCCTTTTCCACGGTGATATTAAAATACATTTGACATTGACCTGGTCAACAATTTAATTCCTGTTCTAAATCAATGCACAAGGTGCCGTATGTTAAACTGCAGGTGACATTAACTTTACTTTGTGTTGTGATAACGTTATCTCTTATTCTAACTAAATAAAATGTTGAACATTAGGTTTGAGTTGACATACTGTATTAACTTTATTGTTACAACATCTAGCCTTGGTCATTTTTCTAGGTTAGTATAATGAGTTATTGTATTGTTTTTTTTGTATTCATCCATCCATCGTTAACCGCATATCCCGCGTACAGGGTCACGGTGGGCTGGAGCCAATCCCAGCTTACATTTGGGCGAAAGGCGGGGTCTGGAACTTACCATTACACATTAATGAGTTACACTAATTGTGTGCTCATCGCAAAACTTAAATTTGTTTCTTTACTGTAGTTTTGTGTATCTTATTTTACACTGTTTTCACCAGGTGGCTGTAATTAGACTAAATAACCTGATATTTTATTGAAGAAAAGCTGTGAAAACTGTCAGCATATCGTCCACTTTTAATATCTGTAGATAATATAGATGACCTCTGGCAAAGTTTTTATTATTTGTGTCTTCTTATATATTTAGTATGTGTCGATATGCTAGATCCAGTAAAGGAAAAAGAAAATATTTTAATTAAAAGTGGCCACGAGATACTACCTCGGCCCCACGTTTTAATTAGAATATTTTTTCTTTCCTTTACCAGATCTAGCAGGGCTCTGTACTTTATTCCTCTTTTTGCAATAAATTATTCTGACACCACGTGAATGCACCATCAATCACTGTTCACCCCTCCTCCCTTTCCAAGCTCAGAAAAAGCTACTCTTGTCCTAAATAAGACTTTTGGGCATCCCAAATTTCACTTCTTTTCTTACTTCTATTAAATCAGAAGACTACTACTACTGCTGCTACTACTACTTGTTTTTCTTACTTTGTTAACGTAGTGACAAAACGCACTCTGCAGTTTGCCCTTTCTGGTTAATGTAGAAACATGGCGACGTCCATGTAAGGGGACCCGCGGTGTATTTCGATAGAAATGGCTCATTAAATTGCTAATTGCGTGAGTCTCATGCTCAGTGCGTGATAATCGGCAGATGTGCTTACTTTGTACAGAGGTAACCAGAAGAGAAGGTAGTATGCAGATCTTACATCTACATGTAGCATAAAAGTGGTAATACTACATTTAGAAACACAGGTGCTGGTCATATAATTAGAATATCATCAAAAAGTTGATTTATTTCAGTAATTCCATTCAAAAAGTGAAACTTAGATATTACACTCACCTAAAGGATTATTAGGAACACCATACTAATACTGTGTTTGACCCCCTTTCGCCTTCAGAACTGCCTTAATTCTACGTGGCATTGATTCAACAAGGTGCTGAAAGCATTCTTTAGAAATGTTGGCCCATATTGATGGATAGCATCTTGCAGTTGATGGAGATTTGTGGGATGCACATCCCGGGCACGAAGCTCCCGTTCCACCACATCCCAAAGATGCTCTATTGGGTTGAGATCTGGTGACTGTGGGGGCCATTTTAGTACAGTGAACTCATTGTCATGTTCAAGAAACCAATTTGAAATGATTGGAGCTTTGTGACATGGTGCATTATCCTGCTGGAAGTAGCCATCAGAGGATGGGTACATGGTGGCCATAAAGGGATGGACATGGTCAGAAACAATGCTCAGGTAGGCCGTGGCATTTAAACGATGCCCAATTGGCACTAAGGGGCCTAAAGTGTGCCAAGAAAACATCCCCCACACCATTACACCACCACCAGCAGCCTGCACAGTGGTAACAAGGCATGATGGATCCATGTTCTCATTCTGTTTACGCCAAATTCTGACTCTACCATCTGAATGTCTCAACAGAAATCGAGATTCATCAGACCAGGCAACATTTTTCCAGTCTTCAACTGTCCAATTTTGGTGAGCTCTTGCAAATTGTAGCCTCTTTTTCCTATTTGTAGTGGAGATGAGTGGTACCCGGTGGGGTCTTCTGCTGTTGTAGCCCATCCGCCTCAAGGTTGTGCGTGTTGTGGCTTCACAAATGCTTTGCTGCATACCTCGGTTGTAACGAGTGGTTATTTCAGTCAAAGTTGCTCTTCTATCAGCTTGAATCAGTTGGCCCATTCTCCTCTGACCTCTAGCATCAACAAGGCATTTACGCCCACAGGACTGCCGCATACTGGATGTTTTTCCCTTTTCACACCATTCTTTGTAAACCCTAGAAATGGTTGTGCGTGAAAATCCCAGTAACTGAGCAGATTGTGAAATACTCAGACCGGCCAGTCTGGCACCAACAACCATGCCACGCTCAAAATTGCTTAAATCACCTTTCTTTCCCATTCTGACATTCAGTTTGGAGTTCAGGAGATTGTCTTGACCAGGACCACACCCCTAAATGCATTGAAGCAACTGCCTTGTGATTGGTTGATTAGATAATTGCATTAATGAGAAATTGAACAGGTGTTCCTAATAATACTTTAGGTGAGTGTATATTCATTCATTACACACAGACTGACATATTTTAAATGTTTATTTCATTTAATTGTGATGATTAAAACTGACAACTAATGAAAATCCCCAATTCAGTATCTTAAAATTAGAATATTACTTAAGACCAATACAAAAAAAGGATTTTGAGAAATGTTGGTCAACTGAAAAGCATGAACATGAAAAGTATGAGCATGTACAGCACTCAATACTTAGTTGGGGCTCCTTTTGCCTGAATTACTGCAGCAATGCGGCGTGGCATGGAGTCGATCAGTCTGTGGCGCTGCTCAGGTGTTCTGAGAGCCCAGGTTGCTCTGATAGTGGCCTTCAGCTTTTCTACATTGTTGGGTCTGGCGTATCGCATCTTCCTCTTCACAATACCCCAATAGATTTTCTATAGGGTTAAGGTCAGGCGAGTTTGCTGGCCAATTAACCACAGGGATACCATGGTCCTTAAACCAGGTACTGGTAGCTTTGGCACTGTGTGCGGGTGCCAAGTCCTGTTGGAAAATGAAATCTGCATCTCCATAAAGTTGGTCAGCAGCAGGAAGCATGAAGTGCTCTAAAACTTCCTGGTAGACGGCTGCGTTGACCTTGGACCTCAGAAAACACAGTGGACCAACACCAGCAGATGACATGGCACCCCAAACCATCACAGACTGTGGAAACATTACACTGGACTTCAAGCAACGTGGATTCTGTGCCTCTCCTCTCTTCCTCCAGACTCTGGGACCTTTATTTCCAAAGGAAATGCAAAATTTGCTTTCATCAGAGAACATAACTTTGGACCACTCAGCAGCAGTCCAGTCCTTTTTGTCTTTAGCCCAGGCGAGACGCTTCTGATGCTGTGTCTTGTTCAAGAGTGGCTTGACACAAGGAATGTGACATCTGAAACCCATGTCTTGCATACGTCTGTGCGTGGTGGTTCTTGAAGCACTGACTCCAGCTGCAGTCCACTCTTTGTGAATCTCCCCCACATTTTTGAATGGGTTTTGTTTCACAATCCTCTTCCAGGGTGCGGTTATCCCTATTGATTGTACACTTTTTTCTACCACAACTTTTCCTTCCCATCGCCTCTCTATTAATGTGCTTGGACACAGAGCTCTGTGAACAGCCAGCCTCTTTAGCAATGACCTTTTGTGTCTTGCCCTCCTTGTGCAAGGTGTCAGTGGTCGTCTTTTGGACAGCTGTCAAGTCAGCAGTCTTCCCCATGATTGTGTAGCCTACAGAACTAGACTGAGAGACCATTTAAAGGCCTTTGCAGGTGTTTTGAGTTAATTAGCTGATGTGGCACCAAGTGTCTTCAATATTGAACCTTTTCACAATATTCTAATTTTCTGAGATACTGATTTTGGGGTTTTCATTAGTTGTCAGTTATCATCAAAATTAAAACGAATGAACACTTGAAATATATCAGTCTGTGTGGAATGAATGTACACATTATACAAGTTTCACTTTTTGAATGGAATTACTGAAATAAATCAACTTTTTGATGATATTCTAATTATATGACCAGCACCTGTAGATGGGTGGTTGGTGATTGCAATTGTTAAAATTTCCATTTTTTCCCTGGGGACCTTAAACCAAGTTTTTCATCTTTCAAGACAACATGACAACTTTGTACAAGTGGATCATGAGGCAGTTTTTGTTAGCAGTGCTTTCCAAATTTAATCTCAGTACATGCATATTTTCAGGAGATCAATCAAGCTGCCAGCTGTGGTTGTTAGAACCTCTGTTCTCTGTTGGCGACCGACGAATGAGGAATCTGACCTTGCTGGCTTTAAATGTTCCAAGTTTCTGTGCTCAGAAACTGAACTGTGACATCAGGCGCATGAAAGCATATTTTTCATTATATTCTTTTGATGCTAAAATGCCCCCTTATGTTTGAAGTGCTGTGGTGTGAATGGTTCATGTACCACCAGACCACCTAGACACAGATTATTGGACGTTCATGCATATTTGAAACCACAGAAAAAGTCATCTCTTCATTTCAACTTGGGGGTTTACAGACATCCAGCTTTCATGCATGTTAATAATGTAAAGAGGAAGCAAGCCAAGACTGCTTTTCAAGTCAAGTCAAGTAGCCCTATATTACAAATCACGATTTGCCTTAAGAAGGTTCAGAATCTGTACAGCATACAACATCCTAGACTACAGTACTGATGGGAGCAGGTCTGAAATTAGTATTATCTAGTGCACCTCCTACCTCCATTGTTCCTTTGAATTAGACCAACAACTCCTCAAGAGGAAGTTGTGATGTGATAGACGCCAACCACACCTCAACATCTGCTCTCAACACTGATCCTATTTTGAGGATTACTTTACACTCTGTTTACAGCCAGTTCAGAGAGCCTTGATGGGATGTACACAGAGTTCTCAGCTTTCAGCAAATAGCAAATGTGAACATTAGAGTTTGGCTCTCTCAACACTATGGAAAAGAAAGGGTTAAACAAATGAAAGACTTTCACTTTTAGTTAACACAAAAGACTTATCATCATTCTATATGGACTGGTGTTGTAATTGTAAATAAAATGGGTATAATAATAATATACCTGGGTTGTATTATAAGGTTTAAAAAAGGGGGAGTGATTAAAATGTCATTATGTTTTGTTCTGTCTTTAAATAGTCTTCTCAAGAAAAGTGATATATCTATCATTTCTATAAACTATATTTTATTAAGGTCATGCATCATTTGCAAAACCACAGTAAGAATCATTTCTTCATTTCAACTTGGGGATTTACAGACATTCTTCTGTTCACCCATATTGATGTAAAGAGGAAGGAAGCCACAGCAGCTTGATTACCACAATTGGTTCAACCACACAGACACAAACTCTTCAAAGACCACGTCCTCCCTTTTTGTTTAGAAATGTTTATTGTAACTTACTACATACAGGATTACTCATGTGATCTACTGATGTGATTTAACAGACAGCAGCTATGGGTTTAACAGCAGCAGTGAGTGGATACGTTTTCCTTCTCTCTGTACAAGGTACTGTACATCTAAATTTATCGTATCGTATTTATTCGTCACTAATTAAACTAAAAGAGGCAGTGAACAATTTTACTTTGGGAGGGAGGGGAAGACATTGAAATGTGTATTGTCTGAGAGAAACCTGTAGTAGTGAAGAGAGCTTTAGGTTGTTCTCAACGTTTGCTAGAGTAAATTTAGAGGCCGGTAGTTCTCAGTGAAATAGCCCTTAAAAAACCCAGTGTACACCACCTGCCAAATATAACAATTGACAAAAGTTAGGCAGTAGCTGGTGACCGCATTGAAGCTCCACGACTTGGAGGAGTAACTAGTATAAATAAGTGTATTAGTATAATATTATAACATTGAATAAAGAGTTTAGTGTTTACTAGTATGATGTTAGTATTATGTTAATGTATTTGTAACAGTAGGAGACAGAACGGACACAAACGCAACGCTGAGGGTTTGAAAAAGAGGTTTATTGAGGAAAAAGGGGGACGAGGAAGGACGGGAGGAAAGAAGGGGAGAGGCAGACGAGTCCGCGGGGGAGCGGAAGGTGCTTAGGCTGGAGGTTCGAGGGAAGCTGGCAGACGTGGAGGAGAGGATGCGGTGACTGGGGACCCGGCGGGGTGCAAGGGGGGAACTCATCTGTTTCCGTGGTTTGTCATTTAGTTCATGTGCATCACCTGTGTTTAGTTAATTACCATTATCATCATCTGTTCCACCTGTGTTCTGTTAATCAGTGTTCATCTGTGTTAGTATTTAGTTCCTTCAGTTCAGTCAGTCTTTGGCCGTTCTACTTTGTAGTCTTGTTTAGTCTGTACACATCCTGCCTGTCTGTACCTTTTGGAGTTACTTTATTAGTAAAACATTTGAATTGGTTGAAGTTGGGTTATTTTTGATCCAACTCCTGGGTTAAAAAGGGACCATCTAATTTCTGGTTTATTTCAACCCAGATATTGGGGTTGTTCTTTTGACCCAGAAGTTGGGTTATATTAAGTACAATGTTGGGTGTTTATTAACCCAGAAATTGGGTCAAAAAGAATAACACAATTTTCTGGGTTGAAATAACCCAGAAATTAGTTGGTCTTAGTGATTGTATACAAGAAACCCATCTATACAGTAAATGGCCTGACTTTTGCTGACTTGATAGTCAAATGTCACTGCAGGCGACTGCAGGGGTGAGGTGTCAAACACACAGTATCAGGCCAGGGACAAGTTTAGTTTACACACACAGGCCTAAAATTATTTAAGTAATGTCTTTTGAAAACATCTACAGCAATGGGTTAAGGTGTACAGGGGAAAAGTCACACATGGAATACCTGCAGATAACACTTTTTATTTATAGAATATGCCTATTTTCACCATTGGGTGAAAATAATGAACTGAACAATACAATAACACTCCTGTGTTGTAAGCTTTCTTGTTGGAATATAAACTATTGTGTGTACAGTGGCCATCAACTTGGGGGCTGATGCCTGGAAATTAACTTTTGCCTCAGTTGCTACATTTCTCTTTGCAGAAGAAGCTCATTGAAATATATGTTAAAGGAAACGGTTTTCCATATATTATTGAATATGTCAGCATTACATCTACTTATCTCGAAATGTATATTAAACTGAATGCAGCATTATAGACAATATTTTGTCTTTGTAATCCATGTTTCATCATAACAATTTAATAATACATTGCATTTAAACAGCACTTTTCATACACAAAAAGCAGTAGCGTACTGGTCCTACCAGACTGGACATGCAGACTGCCAAAATATGTATCCCTCTCCATAATGTACAGATGACGGCCTAGCATCAAGTATTTAATTTTGTGTATACTTTACATCATGACTAATAACAGGGCTGAATATGGAGAAGTTTCTATTTTCCTAGCAAAAGTTATATTGGGATACATATTATTTCAGACTGTATGTGATGGTTTTCAACCTGCCATAAAACACATCCCCCTTTACAATGCACAGATGACAGCCTACTATCAAGTATTTAACTTTGTGTATACTTCACATCATGACTAATAACAGGAGTGAATATAGAGACATTTGTTGTTTCCTAGCAAAAGTTACAGTGGGATTCAAAATACAAACTGGGATCCAGAGAATGTCTAGTACACTAGAGCCTAAACTGTTCATTAAGCCTTACAAAGAAGTGTTGCATCAAAGAATGTAACTTGAGCTAAAGTTAACAAGAATGTTTTTTTTTTGTATAATGTAATTCAATAAAACTATAACTAAGTTACTGAAAAGATCCTGTTACTGAAACATACTAAAACATTACATTATATACTAAACAAGACATTTTGAAAGCTTGAATATTGCCTTGGTCTCTTTGTCCCGGATTGAATGGGCCCCTCTGACAAAACAACTGGCCCCAGCCTGGCCTGGTCTAGAAACGCCACTGGTGCCAAAGTAGTTTAGGGAAATGTAGCTTCACAAAAAGAAGCACCTCCACTACAAATGAAATTCTGTCTCCTGGTGTTGTTGAGTCTGACTGTAGTTTCTGATGTGCTCTGTGTTACAGTGATACAGGGTCAGTATGGCTGGGGAGTGACTTACACCTCTACTCGGATCTGTGCCTTAAAAGGATCAACTGTGGAAATAAGCTGCACCTACACATACCCATCCAGAATAAATGGCCGTGATACTATAGTTCAGGAAACATTCTGGTTTACTCAGATGAATAGATATGTACCTGTGGATCTGAGAAAAGACTCAAGATACACAGGTCGTTTGCAGTACAGTTGTTCTAACAACATCTGCACTCTGAGAATCACAGACCTGAGAGAGAGCGACTCAGCTCAGTACAAGTTGATGTTCATAACAAACCAGCCAGATGGAAGATTTACTGGTTCACCTGGAGTCACTTTGTCTGTCACAGGTAACATTTTCATTAAATTCTTAATTATTTTCAGATGTTCAGCATCTAGGAAACAATAATATAATGTGGTCGTGTGTATTTTCATGTATGCATGTTGACAGTTTTGTCTAAATTAACAATACTGTTCCCTCATCAAATCCAGATCTCCATGTGCAGCTCAGCAACCAACAGCTGCTTTGTCACAGCAGCTGTCGTCTACCTGATCGTCCTTCCTACGTCTGGTACAAGAATGGACAAACATTTCTGAAAGAAACATCTTATTCAGATGACATTTCTACTGCAGACAGTTATTCCTGTGCTGTGAAAGGACTGGAGGGTTTCCCCTCTCCTTCAGTGTGTGAGTTTATCCCACAATCTTCCACTCACACAACACCATCTGGTGGAGCTGTATAACTACATGTATTTTAATAAGGAGACTCCCATTGTGACTCCTCACCAACTCTGGTTTAAAAAATGGTCAAAAAATGTTTTATCTTTCAGGTGTCTATGGTCATTCATGCAACAGAGTGACTTACACTGACAGAAGCATCTGTGCCTTCAAAGGCTCATCAGTGGACATTTCTTGTACTTACAACAGTTATTACACTATCAGATCTAAATTCTGGTTCAGTCCTGAACGTAGTCTTCAGTGGCAGAATCCCTCACAGCCTGAGGACCTTAGTGAAGACTCCCAGTATGCAGGTCGTGTTCAGGTCCTTGAAACAGAGAGAGGACGCTCCACTCTGAGAATCACTGACCTGAGAGAGAGCGACTCAGCTGAGTATCACTTCAAATTCAACACATGGAGCTTTGAATGGAGGAGTAGTTTACCTGGTACAACTCTGACTGTCACAGGTACTGATGAACACAAACTGTAACAGCACATTTAAACTATCTGATGACAAGTGAATGTGCAGAATAGTGATCCTGATGGGAAATACTTTATTATACTCAATCATATTATTTTAATGTTTTTGATTGCATGATTGTCATGTTATTTTCACAGATCCAGATCTCCAGGTGCAGGTGATCAGATCAACAGTCTACAAGCATTATACTGATGCAGACCTGCTTTGTCACAGCAGCTGTCGTCTACCTGATCGTTCTTCCTACATCTGGCTCAAGAATGGACAGAAAATTCAGAGAGAAACATTTTCTTCTTATTCAGTCAGGAGTTATTCTGCAGACAGTTATTCCTGTGCTGTGAAAGGACTGGAGGGTTTCCCCTCTCCTTCAGTGTGTGAGTTTACTGCACAATCTTCAACTCACATAACACCATCTGGTGGAGCCGTAAAACTACATGTAGTTTTAATACAGACACCCTCATTGTGACTCCTCACCAACTCTGGTTTAAAAAATGGTCAGTAATGGTTTGGTCTTTTTTTTTTAAATAAAGAGACCCCCCATTGTGACTCCTCAGTAGTGTTGGGCAAGTTATTCAGGAATTTTATTATCTTACTTTCAACATATCTGCTTCAAAAAGTAATATTATTACTTTATTTATCACTGGGTATTGAACGTAATTAATTACATTACTTGTGACATTACTATATTACTTTCCCTACCCCCGCCGGGCCCCCTACTTAAAAGTGAGAGACAACCTGTTTAGCCAGCTCATTTTAGAAATGAATCCACTTTAATGGAACAATAATTAACCTTCAACAATCAGCCAAACTGGAGATGCTGCAGCCTCTCAAACCAGATGATGCTAGTATAGGGTTAACAGGTTAACATAGAAACATTGTTTTTATCTGGGAGCAGCATAAACAGTCTATGTTCAGTAACAAGTGTCCCTGTTAGAGTTAGGTGACGTGGTCACGTGACGCACATGCCTATGGAGGACCGATCCTGACACAGTCAGAAATAAATACAGAAATAAATAAATGCTCAATAAATAAATAAGCATCCAATTAAATACACAAAAAAATAAAGTAAATAAATAAATGTAGGTTGTAATTAAATTATACAAGGAGACATAAATGTATATATTTTAATTAGTGCCTTTACTTATTCACCTTTGTTATAATTACCTTATTTATTTATTCTCCGTTATAATCTTCAACTTTATTTATTACTATTTTTTTTATGTATTTAATATTATTTATGTGTCTGTTAATATTTTTGTCTGTTTTATTCTTCCTTTGTATTTTTTTACCTTATTTATTTTCACCCATGGTATTTATTTCTGCCTGTCCTTTTTACATTTCTGTATGCATTTCTGCCTTATTATGCAAATGAGGAGGGGCTGTATCTCAAGGGGTCATCTTCTCTCCTATTGGTGGACCAGTCAGACAGGAGAGCTCTAGGCCTACTCTGCCTGCAGACATCCAGCATCCTCACAGTCAGATGGCTTCCTTCAGTGCGCTGAGGTGTTTAACAACTCTGAAGACACTAACAGCAATGTCTTCCTTCTCTTTTCACGTAGACGCTCCGACAGACAGTGCTTTCAGTTTGCTGCATGCATGGACACAGAACTGCGGTATAGGGAGAAGCACACGGTCAGCTGGGTGCAGCTAAATCTGGAGTGCACTCGTATTCAATTCTGTATGGTAAATTCAGTTTTAACGGAGCAGAGCGAGCTGACAGGCAGAGTTAGAGACTTTTTCTGTCCGTTTCTCTCTTTACAAAGACGCATGTTGCAGTCAGAGTCTTCTCTGAGATGCGAGCACGACATACAACACAATTATCAAATTACACATCGGATATACAGTATGAAAATAAGATTGATTGGATTATACTCACAGGAAGTATAAAACCTGTTAAATGCATCTATTAAAAGTAAAGTAACACAAAAATGTCAGGGAAATTACTTTACTTAGATTTAAGTACTGCAGTTGTACATTTGAAATACCTTCCTACCTTTCTGATAGGAAGCCTTCTTGAGGTGGTATAAAACATTTCTTCTTAAATTATGATTTGAGTTGTGGACAACTATGACCACATGAATTAAAAAAATTAAACATTTCACTGCCCAAGTCAGCTATAACACAAGTCTTGTTCATTAGACTACATGCTGTACAGTATTTGTGGACAGATTTTGTCCCAGGATTTATTATGCATTTCTTCTTCTTCGCTGCACGATTTAGAATAATAAGGTGAGAAATGGGTCTATTCTGAGTTCATCCTGAACATGGTTATGTTCTCCGCATGCCTCCTTCTGTGTTTTCTGTGTGAGACATAGAAGTACAGTAACTAAAGTTAGCCTTCATTAAATCATTTCGACTGGTTAAGTGCAGTAAAGTTAACTTTAAATTGACTTCACCACCACACATAAAACATGGCTTAATAGCAATCACATTTAACAGAAGCATAAAATTCTTCTTACTGGTAACTGTTAAGATTAGTTTATTTGTTAGTCACCACCACTAGCTTAAGAGCTTTAGCCTATATGATGTTAGCACTACATAAATTAGCCTAGCGGCTAACAGATTTTTACTCTCCTCATAGCTAAACAGATTACATGTAGTATTCATAATACTCACCGCTGGTGAAGTCACTGCATCTCCCGACACAACACCACGGTTGAATTTTCACCCTGAATAGCGTTTTTGTTGAAACAGCAGCTGAAAACAGCAGAGCAACGAGCTGCTCCATGTAGAAGCATTTACCGTAAATACTCGAATAGGAGTGCACTCCAGATTTAGCTGCAGCTAACTGATGTGGCCCTCAGAAACAACAGCTCACTTTCCTGCAGTTCTGTGTACGTATAAGTCGCTAATTGAAAACTCTGTAGGTCAGAGTGTCCACATGAAAAGAGAAGGAAGACATGGCTGGTAGTGTCTTCAAACAGAGTTGCTAAACACCTCAGCGCACTGAAGGAAGCCATCTGACTGTGTGAAGAGCAGCTTGTTGATGTGTGCAAGCAGAGAAGGCCTGGAGCTCTCCCGTCTGACTGGTCCACCTATGGGCAGAAGTTGACCCCTAGAGACAAAGCCCCTCCTCATTTGCATAATGAGGCAGAAATGCATACAGAAATGTAAAAGGACAGACAAAGGAAATACAAAGGAAGAATAAAACAGACAAAAATATTAAAACACACACATAAATAAATACATTTAAAAAATAAGTAATTAATAAATAAAGTTGAAGATTACACTGGACAATAAATAAATAAGGTAATTATTACAAAAGTGAATAAGTAAAGGTGCTAATTAAAATATACATTTATGTCTCCTTGTATAATTTAATTACTACCTACATTTATTTATTTACTTTATTTTTTTGTGTATTTAATTGGATGCTTATTTATTTATGGAGCATTTATTTATTTCTGTATTTAATTCTGACTGTGCCAGGATCGGTCCTCCATACACGCCTGCCCGCTGCTGATGTTGAATTGTCTTGAACTTTTTGTAGGGGACGCACAGCACAAATCATTGGAAGAGAGACTGGTCCTCGTTCTTTGTGAGTTTCCAGAATCTATAGGCTACTGTTTACTAAATAGTTATCAGGACATTAACAGGAGGGAATTCACATGAGCATCCCCGTAAAACTAGATGAAGGCCTATCAGGTAAAGTTACGTAGCCTATAATTTTAAGTTAAATAGGTGTAGCGCACAGAAGCTGTTGCCATGGTTACTCTCCATAGAGCTCCTGCCTTTTAAGGCCTTTTCACACGGGAAGCAACACTCCGCCCTGCTTAGTCACCTGGGCCTGCAGGGTCGCTCTGCACTACTCATGTGAACAGACACAGAGACAAACGGCGCTCTATAGATATTAACCACAGCAACGGCTTCTGTGCGCTACTGTGTTCCTTCATAGCCTAGCTTAAAGTAAAACCATAAGTAACGTTAGTTGATAGGGTATATTATTATATTAAATTGTTCATATAGCTGATAAATCTAGTCATGCAAACACCCTCCTGTTAGTGTCCCGATCACATGTAGCCTATTTCATCGAAGTCACAGACAGCGAGGATCAGTCTCTCATCCATCTTCTTTTTGTGTTGCACGTCGCATAGAGAAAGTTCAAGTCAATTCAACTTTGGCAGGGGCGTTTGTCGCTACGCCCCGCGCCTCCCTTCCTCTCATTGAAAATGAATTAAGAGGCACGTAAATCGCTTCCTGTGTGAAAAGGCCTTAACTCGCAGAGCGCTTTCTCCCTTTTTGTTCACCGCAGCAAAGAGAAAATTCCTCAGACAAACTTCTTCCCCAATAGGCTACTAATCAGCATGCAGTGTGTAGCTATCCACTTCGCTATGGCATTTGATCGCTTGTCTTGCTTTTGTTTATCTACTTCTCCCACACGCTGCATCCAACGTAGTCTGCCGAAGCCTTCCTCCGCTGCTTGTTTGGGTGGGTGATTTGCTGGCTGATCAACATCCCACCCCTCCTGTGACTTCTGCCAAGCTGCTGGTACTCTCCTCTGCCTCTCCATATCAGGTACTCTGGGCGCTACCTGACGCTGACCTGTTCCCGTTCTCACCTGCCTGCTAATCTCTGTCGGCGCAGAGAGACGAGGGAGAAGAGAAGCTCGGGTGCCTCTCAAGCAGCTGAGCTGAATGTAGCTCGTCAATGTCGCTTGTCCTGAACCGACCAGTCTGGATGAGGAGGACATTTAAAATATTGACAGATAGGTGTCATTTACACTGGGACGCTGGGGACAGGTCAGAATCTGAATGTCTCCATCACAAGTTTTTGTTAAAAATGTTCTGACAAACAGCAACAAGAAATGTTGAATAACACATGAAACAATCCGCAGTAGGAAAACATGCAATGCAACTGAAATATAGAAGAAACAAATGTGCATGTAATTACTGCATTATATTCTATTATATTTCTATATAGACATTTATAAGACATTTCCTCCATAAACTGGTGGTGAAAATGTGTTCAGAATGCAGAAAATTAACTGGTTAATGCTGACACATTTTTTTCCACTTCAAGCACTGGTTTGACTGTATGTGTATTCAGAGCTAATGAGCAACGGACTGTTTTAACGTGCAATTAAAATAATAGTTGCCATTAATTAGAATGAATGCGTTAAGACAATAATACTGCATTAACATGTCCAGACCTAATATATTTAAAAAAACAAAGGCTCTCCCAATTAAATAGCTTTTTTCTTCTTCTTAATTACTTTCTTATAAATAAATGTCTTTTGCAAACATAAAATTTCTTAATGCCACTGGCTGAAATAATAAAATAAGCAAGTCCCTCCTTACTTTAGAACTAACTAGTGCAGTGCCTGTTCACATACCCATAATGTTAGGTTGACTGGATGAACGGTTCTCGACATAATGGAAAGAAAGATGTCTTTCAGCACATAATTTATAAAAGCAATATTCAGTGTTGTTACAAAACATAAAACATTTCTTAAAGCCACCAGCATAAAAAAAAAAATGAAAGCAAGCCCTCCCGAGTGCATGCATCACTGGCATCAGTGCGACCCCATGGTCCAGGATCGTTGCACAAAAAACTGAGCCCTGTACATAATAATTCTCTATGGGCTCCTCTCATCCACTGCTATTTGTTATAGTATCTTTGTAGGCCCTCCACAGATAAGGCCCCTGTATACTACATATTACTGATAACACTGCTCCTCACCAACTCTGGTTTAAAGATGGTCAAAAAATTTTTTCTCTTTCAGGTGTCTATGGTCAAACCAGCAACAGAGTGACTTACACTGACAGAAGCATCTGTGCCATCAAAGGCTCATCAGTGGACATTTCTTGTACTTATAACAGTTATGAAACTATCACATCTAGATTCTGGTTCAGTCCTGAACGTAGTCTTCAGTGGCAGAATCCCTCACAGCCTGAGGACCTTAGTGAAGACTCCCAGTATGCAGGTCGTGTTCAGGTCCTTGATACAGAGAGAGGACGCTCCACTCTGAGAATCACTGACCTGAGAGAGAGCGACTCAGCTGAGTATCACTTCAAATTCACAGCAGGAAGCTTTGAATGGAGGAGTAGTTTACCTGGTACAACTCTGACTGTCACAGGTACTGATTCTTGATTAACGCAAACTGATGTATACAACAAATTAGTAAATTTAAAAAGGCAGTTAATGTGAACAGCTGTTTAATATAAACTGTAGATGTTAAATGTAAAGTTGGTGGTGAAAATATGATCATTATGAGTTTTCTTCCTCTTCACCTCACCTAAGTTCGCTCTTGACTATTTTACCTGTTGGATTATTCTGACTGTGTGGCTTTGATTTTGCAGTTGAGTATTTAATGGTCAGTGACATTACTGTGTTTTTGTCCAGCTCTGCAGGTGCAGGTCACCAGAATAAAAGTCCATGGGTCTTATATAGAGGCAGTGCTGCTTTGTCACAGCAGCTGTCGTCTTCCTGATCGTCCTTCCTACGTCTGGTTCAAGAATGTGAAGAAAATGGAAAGGGTGGAGACATCTTCTTATAAACATAAGTTTTATCCCGGAGATATCATTTTGTGTGCTGTTAAAGGTCATGAGGATTTCCGCTCTCCTTCAGTGTGTGAGTTTACTACACTGTGTCAGAAAAACAACACACATACACACTAACATTACAATACAATTTCAGACATAACCGCCTTCTAGATCTTAATTCAGACACAGCAGTATTATTTATAGAAAAAAACTCTAATACCAGTAGAAAAACAATATTCTGATATACAGTATGTTGTTATATAAAATTTTCAAATCCTTTCTAGGGCTGTCCCCGACTAAGGATTTACTTGACGATTTAAAGAATCGTCAAGTCCTGCCTATAGTCGACTGATAGTCCAATCACATGTGTTTTTGTATGGGGCGATTGCGTACAAAAACACACTTGGGGGGGGTTAACACGCTAGCTCCGCTTTAATCTTGAGAAGCTGCAGAGCTACAGTCTCGATTCATTCAACTTACACTGTAAATTTCCAGCTAAACTGATGCCTTTTGAAGACCCTTTTCTCTCTCTCTCTCTCTCTCTCTCTCTCTCTCGCCTGTCATTCACCAGTCTTGTGCCGAGTTTCAGGTGCATTCTGTGTTGCCGACAACTACATGCACGTCGCGGTTCCTTGTGGGTCTATTTCAAGTAGCCGGCTATTTAAAAACGCTATAATAATCTTTGTGTGGTTCATCAACGGTGATAAATTATCCCGAAAGTCCCGCAAGGTGCGGACAACTCGGCACAACACCAGTGAAGCTGGGGCTCCGTCTCTTCAGCAAGTGTTCCTCTTCTGCCACTGCACACACACACGCTACGTCTACACCCAGGGTTAAGGTTACAATTTTGGATTTATTTATGCAATTTAAAAACATTTATTGAAATTTTTTTTCTTTTTAAATGTTTATTTATAGCATTAAATGTTAAAATGTGAATTGTAATAGGCAGTAGATTAATTTATTGGTAGAAAACTGGTAGTTCTATGTAAAATGACGTTGAGCACCCCCATATCGCCAAAATGACATGACCTGGATATTGTTAACCTGTAACTTTTCATTTTCATAGTTAAATTTGAAAATGGAATTAACAGTTTCCCAAGATTTATTCCTGACAGACAGACAGATGGTCTTTATCTTAACAGTCATAAATCAGAAACACATAAGTACTGCTACCACCACAGAGACTGGATAAAATTACATGAACTTGAAAACATTTGAAGACTAAAACTCTGTAACCGGATCTGAACACAGACAAGACTGAAGATTCAAAATAGCAAATGAAGAGCACAAGAACCTGTTTTTTTCCAAACATAGATTTTGCTCCCACTCCCAATAATTGTATACAGTCTGTTATGTAGACTCAAAAGAATAATTTACAAAACAGAACAAGGAAATGATCTGCCAGCTGGCAACACCTACAACTCAACTGAGAAGACTGTCAGGACTGACTCAGCATATGCAACCTGAACACAACCAGTATCCTGTATATAGAGACAAAGTGTGGATATGTTTTAAATACAAATTATTAAAGACTGACAGTTTTCAACAGCAGGAGTCAAACCTGGGACAGCTCCAGGATCAGCACTCTGTACAGCTGTTGTGACTATTAATACGAAGCAAACAGGAGTTTAAATGGAAATATTCAATTGTCTATAATAACATATTCTCATCCTTATGTTATTGACGTTCATCTCTCCTCCAGATGGTCCAAAGCTTCCCTCTGTGTCAGTGAGTCCCTCTGCTGAGATAGTGGAGGGCAGTTCAGTGACTCTGACCTGCAGCAGTGATGCTAACCCAGCAGCTAAATACACCTGGTACAAGGAGAACCAAAGACTGCTCAGTGAAGAACCACAGCTTGTCTTCAGCTCCATCCAGTCCTCTGACTCTGGAGAGTATTACTGTGCAGCTGAGAATGAGCTGGGGAGGATGACATCTGAATACATCATTAATGTCAAATGTAAGTGATGAGTTTAACATCTTATATCTACCCAATCTATGCAGAAGATTTTATTGACCTTGTGCCGGTTTGGGATTCAAAAAGTCACACATCCATTCGGCAGACCACCTTCTAGGTCAGACAGACATAGATAAAAAAATGTCTTTGGGCCCTTTTTTTCCCCTGAAACTGAAATGTAGCACTTTTGTGTTAATAGTATAATCCTTGCACAGTGAAGTCAACTTGGAAGAGAAGCTGAACACATTATTGGTATTATTAATAATCCACTCGACATAATGGGAAAACAAATTGTGATTTTGAAATTGTGAGATATATATCTATATATACACACACACACATATATTGCTTAAGAAATGCCATGACAACTTTGAAATAGGATTCATCACCAATCACCTAACTTACAAAGCTTGAAAATGTGTTGAATGTGTTGAAAATGGCACTATGCCAACCACATTGACATTGCAGGCACCTCCGCTCTAAGGAGAGCCATGTAAGTTGCAGTGTACTTGTTTTTGCAAAATTGGAGGTCCCAGCAGCACATTGCTCCACACACTGAAGAAATAATGTTTTGCCCAGAATGTCAGAGGTTTTTAGATCAGTTTTTATGTTTTCTAGCTTTTTTCTAGCTTTGTTGAGGCAACAACAGCCTTATGGTGTGTTCAAATGTGAAGTGAATTTTTGCCTTGCGTTACTTGCGCGAGTTTGACTGCTGCACAATTTGTCTTTACTTGTGTTACTAGCACACAACTCGCAAATATTCCCCCAATCTGGTTAACTACAGTGTTATGAACCCAAAATAAACATTTTGCTGTGATTTAATTGCAATAAACTGACCAAAACGATGCCAAAATGACAACATCATGATGCAGATTGGTTAAACATATGAATTCATGCTTTGTCAGGTCTGTCTGCAAGATGACAAGCAAACCACTTTTAAAAAAGCTTATTTTCTAAATGGTGTTTGGATCAATGGGGCTATGCTATTCTAGATGGTTTTCCAATAAAGTACAGCAATAGCTGGAATGAAGTAATGGACACATCATTTCTGAACTTACCAGGTAGTTTGACTTCCTTGCCTACGTCTCTCCAAACAGACTCCTGTTTTTTCCGGTTTATATAAATATGAAGTAGTATCACAGAGCTCTGGCTCCACAAACAGCTACAATGAAAACAGTGGAGGTCGTAAACTTGGTGGCTGCAGACAGGATGAGAAGTGCGGGTGAAGATAAATCCACTTTTTAAATTTTAATAAAAAAATGGATTTAATTAAAATTAACTCTGAGCTACTATTGCCGATAAGCAGAGGCTCTGTCCCTCTGCTCTGCCCGGTCCTCTCCACATAACACTCTGAATAGCCGGGTTATACTTGTGTTGAGAATAACTTTTCTCACCTGAACGTGGCTCACAATAATATCATTTCAACAACATTTGCGTCTTCCAACCATCGCCTAATTTGTGTCTATGCATGGACTTGGTATGTAACTGCGTTGAATGAAAGATTTGCTTCTTGTTTTATTCAATTCAATTCAAGTCAATTTTATTTATATAGCGCCAAATCACAACAACAGTTATCTCACAGCGCTTTTCATAAAAGAGCAGGTCTAGACCGTACTCTGTGATGCTATTTACAGAAGCCCAACAGTTCCCACCAAGAGCAAGCACTAGGCGACAGAGGCAAGGAAAAACTTCCTTTTAAGAGGCAGAAACCTCGAGCAGAACCATGGCTCAGGGTGGGCGGCCATCTGCCTCGACCGGTTGGGGTGAGAGAGAGAGAGAGAGAGAGAGAGAGAGAGAGAGAGAGAGAGAGAGAGAGAGATGTAAGGAGAGAGAGAGGGGAGGGAGGCAGCCTACACAATATACACACAGAGGTACACACAGTGAAGGTAATGTTGCTATAGACTAAATGAAAAATGGTACAGATATTTATAATAGTGTTAATGGTAACCATCGTAATGTTAATGATTATAATAACAATAATAACAATAAGACTAGCAACAATAGTCGTTGCAGTAGAGGGTGTCGAGCAGGAACACGGGGGCAGCAGGTGACCCGCAGCCACAGCTCCAGACTCCACAGCTCCAGAGCCAGAAAACCTGCAGGAAGTGATAGGAGAGAGGAGAGAGACGAGAAAGCACAAGACTACCAGAAAGGGGAGAAGTTGTGTTAGTAACATGCAATAATGGGATAAGGTTGCATACAGAGGGAGAGAAAGTAGAGGAGAGAGGAGCTCAGTGCATCATGGGAAATCCCCCGGCAGTCTAGGCCTATAGCAGCATAACTAAGGGATGGTTCAGGACTCACCTGAGCCAGCCCTAACTATAAGCTTTATCAAAGAGGAAAGTCTTAAGCCTACTCTTAAATGTGGAGATGGTGTCTGCCTCCTGAACCCAAACTGGAACCTGGTTCCACAGGAGAGGAGCTTGATAGCTGAACGCTCTGGCTCCTAGTCTACTTTTGGAGACTCTAGGAACCACAAGTAACCCTGCATTCTGGGAGCGCAGTGCTCTGGTGGGGTAGTAAGGTACTATGAGCTCTTTAAGATAAGATGGTGCCTGACCATTAAGAGCTTTGTAGGTAAGAAGAATGATTTTAAATTCTATTCTGGATTTTACTGGAAGCCAATGCAAAGAAGCTAAAACAGGAGAAATGTGATCTCTTTTCCTGGTTCCTGTCAGAACACGTGCTGCAGCATTCTGGATCAGCTGAAGAGTCTTAATGGACTTTTTCGAGCAGCCTGATAATAAGGAATTGCAGTAATCCAGCCTAGAAGTAACAAATGCATGGACTAGTTTTTCTGCATCATTTTTAGACAGGATGTTCCTGATTTTCGCAATATTACGTAGGTGAAAAAAGGCGGTCCTTGA